TTCTTGTCAGCATCACTGCTGATATTAAAAGACAATTTTGCCAAGAGGTTTCAGGGCGCAGGAAGCATATTGAACACTGCAGTTGTATTGGTAATAATTTTTTTTTTTTTAATGTCAGTCTTATTTGGATCAATATGATCCCTTGGAGGACAGGTGGTGAGGGAGAGGAAAGTATGCAACTTTAAAAATAGAACTTGACAAGTTACTAGAAGAATTACATGATAACTTCTGACTTCATATGTTGATTTCTTCTCACCTAAATGTAGGTGACTACATTGAGATAGTCCCTCTTGTGTTTATTTGCTTTTGGTGGAGAGAAATAAACACTTTTACAGGCTGAATCATGTCATCCTAATGTAGATTTAAAAAATAAATTAGATTAACTATGCCCTACAAAAGCTTATTTTTTCTCCATTGATTATAAAGGGAACGCAAGGGAAGAAGTTCAGAAACAGGTATCTCCACTGTTCTAAGAGATGAATTCCACCCCAGGAGACAACTGTCCTCTATCCCAGGGGACAGGAACAATAAAAGGGGAGGAATAAAGGAAAGAAAGAGAACTGGTGGGGCCAAAGAGATGAAGAATAACTGAAAACAGCATATAACAATGGAGAAAACATACCCTCAGCTATATTACGGAGATGTGAATTGAAGGCCATGGAAAGAGAAACAGCATGGAGAAAGAGTACAAGACTTGGTTATATTGCCAAACATGCTTATTTAGTAGATAGACAACTACCAAAATTGCAATTCTATGCGCAGGAATGTTTAATTTCGTATGGATGTACATACGAGAAGTATTGTCCCTCTCTACAGCCACACACACATTAGATAGAACTAAACATGCAAATAAACCCATGTTCTTACAGGCAAAAGAAACATGAAATTTCATTTAATTTGTGTTGCAACAGCACCTTGCCCTTTGAAGTCTCATTGTGCTGTGTTAGCTGTTATATATAGAAAGGAAAATAGTGGAGAGAGTGAAGAGGGTTGACACAATGCACTAAAAATATTACTTTCTGCTAATGTATTCTTTGGCAGTCCACCAAGGTTAATATTAGGCCTTCTGCCAAAAGTCAAAAGGTCCCAAGTCGTCACTACTATTTGAAATTATATTGAGTTAATGTGCCTACTTCTCACCTCTTGATGACTTTATGCTGGCTTTAAGGCCAATGAAATAAAAATGCTTTGCTTTAACTCTCTCCTGCGGGAGATGCCTTGCCAGTTCCCACCCTCTAAAGTGCTTCCTACTGGGTTCTTATACCAGCCCATAATGTTATGATTATAGCTATGGCTATACAAATGTATCCTCAAATTCTTAAAAGCATCTAGTGGTTTTGATTGACTTGATGCACCTTCAGGATACTTGACCATCCAGCAGTAATTGTTGAGTACATGTAAACTTCAGCACTTCAAAAAAGTAGCACTTTAAAAGCTGCCTTCAACTGGGCATGTTTAATTGAAGTCACCCAAAATCAATAGTTGCTTTTGAAAATCCAGAACCCATTTGACATTTCAAATAGAAAGACAGGCTAAATTATTTTATTATTTCCGTATACAAAGTTTTATTTAATTTTGTAGTGTATTGGACAAAGTTATTCCCTTCCAAAATTAGGAACGATAAAAGCATTAATTTCTGTAAATTAAATCACTTTTAGAGATTAGAAGTTGCTCAGCCTCTCACAGGAAGACTGAGTGCAGTTATGTAAGAAGACAAGCATGTTGATTCATACAAATTATGCTATGCATTACTTGGAAGAGCCTTCACAAATTTTCCCCTCCCCTCCAAAACCAGATTTAAACATGGGAAAGAGGCTTCTGTATGCTATGAAACAATCCTTCTGCTGGAAGGCTGGCAAAATTCCCACTGTTTAAGGAGTGAATGAGGAAATCTCTAAAAGCACCAATCCTACCCATTCTCCATTTCTCTCCTGCTAAGCATAATACTTACCAATATAAAGGCTAACAGGTCATTTTATTTCACTCCACTCTTGTGCCTCATAATAGCATTAAAATAGATTTGCTTTTGATCACACTTTAATTTTAAGGAGAGTGATGCATAATTACATTATTTGCAATTATCAGTTTTCACTGTAAAGCCTAGGACAGAATAGTGTTGATAAATCCTGGAAATATGCTAAAGACCTGTTTTGCTTTCTCAAGGGAAGATTATTATTTGTACTAGGAAAGTGGGCAGAGCTGCTTAATTTATTCTTCATACACCTGTGGCTTATTTGAAGTCCCAGACTTTCATCCCTATCCAAGAAAATCTCTCATTAGCTTCTTCAAAGAGAATTGAGTGTTCATGGTGTTATAGCTCTTCCTTTTTTATTTGGTCATCTGGACACCCTGTCTCTTGTCACAACCATTCCACTAGCTTCATCTTGTCCCTCTCTGACATCCCTTATTACAAGTCTAACCCCTTTAATGCCATTTTTCCTCACCATTACACTTTCTACCACATCCACTCGCCTTGTGAGTATGAACATGTTTTTTCTATTTTGTTCAGGAAGGAAAACCTGTAAGTCCACCTGCTTGTCCATCTTCTTTCTTTGTCAGGGGCTAAGGGCTCCCAAGCAGTGCCTTAGCTCTCCACCACCTCCCCATTCCCTCCATCACTCCACCTACATCAGTTTGCAGTCCTCTGCTCCTTCCTTAAGAAATTTTCTCTTGAAAGACCTCTGTGGACATTTGCCAAATTATCCTCTTTCAGCTTCATCCCCAAGAACCATCTCTCCCTGATGGAAAACTGGCAATTTAAAAGGTATTTAACTTTATGAAGATTATGCAGAAGGAACTCCCTGCTATTCTTCATGATACTTATCAAAGATGAAGAGATCCTTGGGACAGGGTCAGTGACATCATATTAAGGAGGATCCTAGAAGGAGATGAGTTAGTAAGTATTTGAATTAGATAAGACGACCACGTCTTATTTCAACAGTCTTAGGACGCCACTGAGCACCTTGATCAGTATTTTGAAACTTATTCTTCCAGAGATCACTCTCTTCCAGTCCAACCCCTCCCCTCTGCTGTCGTTTGAAGGAAAGAAACCTTTCAGAAGAACGCCCCTCTCTTGCTCCCCGCCTCGGCCGGGATTTGATGCCTTGGATTGCCCGCGCTCCCAGTGAGAGCCTCTTCCCTGGGCGCTCCCCGGCACGAATCCCTCCGGGAACGCGCCCTCCCCCGGCACCCAGGGGCCGGGAGGGCGTCGGTGACTCACGGGGGGCTCCCGAGGGACAGAGGCGTGGGGGGAGCTCCCTCCCCCGCCGCCGCGGTGCGCCCAACTCCGCTCCGCCCAGAGCTCCCGGCGCTGCTGGTTACCGGGGGATGCCGCCTTCCCCGGCACGGCACCGCCTCAGGCGTCACCGACCTCGGTACGGCTCCGCTGCCCTCGGTACCGGCTTGGCTCCCTTGAACCTACAGCCTAAGTACGAGCCAAAGGGCCGCGCCCCGTGCCCCCAGCAGCTCCCTCCCCGTTTCTTCCCTTGCTCACCCAAACCGCACTTTCAGACGTCCTCAAATTCGGCGCTGCTCCGTGGGGTGTTATGGCTCAGCCCCACGGACGTGTGACCCGCCGGCATCCCTCGCACGCAGTGAGATGTGTAACGGGTGATTGGGGAGAGGAAGTAACATCCCTCCGTAAGCTGCGTCTGTTCCTAAACATCATTTAACTTAAAACAAGGGCAAACGAGTGCCTGCTTCCACGAAAGCGCTCGGGAAGGGACACCCATAAAAAAACAAACAAACAAAAAAACCCCACCAAACACAAAAAACAAACAGAAAACACCCGGGAGAAAACAAGTCAGCAGCTCTCTCTCCTTCCTTCCCCACGGTGAGGGAGCACCCCGCTGTCTCTTCTTGCGTGTGGTGCCGGACCCGGCAGGAGGCAGAGCCAGTAGATGCTGTGCATCTGACTTCCCTCAGCTCTCAAAGTTTTGTCACCCGGACCTGCGTTGCGCACCGCAAAACGGTGGCATTCAAGACCCGAAGAAGCCAGCAGTTTCGGCAACTGCTTGGTGCTATGAATACTTCAGTAGATACACCACTATTTCGGGGGGTAGCACCTTATACTGCACCAATACCCACCAGCCAGACGAGCAGCAGCCTAACTCAGCGCATCACCCAACAACCCGCTGGCAGACCGCAGCCGGCGGCATCAGCTGGGAAAGCGGGGGGGAGGGAACGAGTGTCCGCATGCAGTGGGACAGACGTGAATCGGGTAAGGAGTTGGCCGGATAGAGGGAGGCAAATCCATGAAGATTGCTGCTGACTACAGAGTTTTGTAGTTTGAAACACGTGAGTCCAGCAACAATGAGGAAGCAAATCAGTTTAGCAAATAAAACACGCAGAGCCACATTTTAGCACACACAAAGAAAAACTATAGACACGATTCAAGGAAAACACCCCACTTTATTGGCTGATTTCTGGTTGAAGGCTATTCGGTGTGGAGACAAGAAAGTCGATGTCGTGAACGACTATCGTGTACTCCGATGAAGACTCCGGGGCGTGGGCTGAGCCGCCTTCCCGCACACGCACAGCGCCGCATCTTCGGAAGTACTCTTCAGCAAGTTTTAAAGTTCCTTCTTTCTTTCTCCGACCGTTTTGGGCTCGCTCTTTCTCTCCGGTATTTTAATCGGATGGCACCCATTCCCTTTATCAGTAGCTCCACGGAGACTAGACAATGCCTTTTTAAAAGCCACTTAATGACCCGCATTCCCCCCTTTAAGGGCTAGGGCAGGACAGGGCACAGGCTAAGGGGAGCGTGGGGGCGATATATTCGGCAGGACCGCCACAGGCCCGAGCGCTGGGAGGTCCCCGCCCACATTATCGGCCGAGCACCGATAGAGGGGGGCTCTTTGGTCCCCCGCCTTTAGCAGGTGGCCCGCCCCGGACGCTACAAGCAGGCTAGTCCCCTCGGGGCAGCCAGAGGCGGGAAACCAGGAGGACCGTGGGGCTCCGGGCGCCGCCGCCGCGGTGGGGGCCGCGGCTCCAGCCCTTACCTGAGTTCCTGAGCTTGCGGTTCTTGAAGACGGAGACGATGACCAGCAGGTTGCCCAAGATGTCCACCACGGTGGTGAAGATGAGCACACCGGAGAGCACCGTCACCACCCAGGCGGGCCGCGGGGCACCCGCCGCCTCCCGCTCCGCCAAGCCGAAGCGGCTTTCCCCCCCCGGGGCACAGCAGTTCCTCAGGGAGCCATTCTCCAGCATCGCTGACACCCGGCGCGACGCTGCGCTCCGACCACCTCCCCACCGTACCCGCCCGGCGCGGCGACCCCGCTGACTGACCGCGCGGGCGGGCGGGAAGGCTTTTAACGGCCGCGCCGCGGGCGCTGCCCCTCCCGCTCCCCCGCCGAGCTGCCGGGGCGGGGCTAGGGGCGGGGCTAGCGCCCAACACCCCCTCCCGGAGCCAGTAGGGGGAAGGCCGGGGGGCGGGCATTACGCCTGGACCACGCCCCCCGGCCACGCCCACGGCGGTTGAGGGAGGGAGCCGCCCCTCGGCGGGGTGAGGGGATCCCGCCGGCGGCGGGCGGCGGAGGCGGCTCTCGGGGGCAGCGGAGGCGGCCGCGCTCGGTCACCCCCGGTGGCGGCTTGCGGGGCTGGAGAAACGGGAGAGCCGCGGGCGGCGAAGAGCCGGCGGGGAAACTCCCTCCTCAGCAGCCTCCCGCCCCGCTTGGCTGCAGGCCGCTCCCCGCCGCCGGGCTCGGCCGCACCCCGCCTCTCGCCGCGGCGGTGAAACGGCGGGGGGGGTGTGGATTTTTTTTCCCTCGAGGCTCGGTCCGGTGTGTTGCCGGCCGGGCAAGGCCCAGGGAAGCCCCTTCCCCTCGCCGCCTGCCGGGCCTGGTGCACCCAGGTGGGATTTTGTGGTGCATTCCCTCCTTTAGTGTGGGCGACAGATCGCCGTGGCCCTGCGTTTGGCGTTGGAGCGGAACAGTCTGTCAGTCCAAGACTAAGGGCAACAACGCCCGTAGGGAGGTCACTGCAAAAGTCGTGGACAGGACACACTCCAAACCGACGTTAACTAAAATGTGTATATTCCAGAGGTTTTTCCTCTTAAACTGCAGGAGTACAGCACAGACTTCACTGTGAGACAAAGTTTGGAACGTATAGCTTCATTTAGGATCCCAATGTGACAGGTGCTGTATGCTTATTTGCATTAAATAAGGGAGATGCAGGTGACAAAGGAGGACAGACCTCCATGCCTGGCCGCCAGCGTGGCTGGCACAGTTAGCAGGTGCCACTGACTGTGTATCTGTGGGGTCATGTAGTGTCTGCTGACAATTAGGGCTGCTCACAGCAGACAGAAGGGTTTTGTGTCCTACTTTACATTTTGTTCAGGCCAGCCGGGCCACACTAGATCGTTCTCCTGCTTCCAGGTTTTGCGCACTTTTGAAGATGCTGCAGGAGCTACACCTGCAGGAGAGGTCACTGTGTAGCTGTATTCTGCCTCTCTCTGTCTGCTCAGCACAGAGGAAGGTATGCCCCATAGTTTTTCAACAATTAGGTCTTGAGATAGCCTGCTCGTTGAGTTAATTTGGAAAAATGGGGCAAGTTTCAGTCCTTTCCAACAGTAAATACTTTATTATGGCACGCTGCGTCTTTCAGACATACCTCTACACAAGTGTGCACTGATGTAATCAAAATATTACAAATTATTGTGTGAACTTCTTCCAACTTAGAAATAGTTTATGGTTGTTCAATTTAAATGTATTCCTAATCAATTTTAGATATACTAAAGTAGTCCTGGTTGGAACTAACATAAAAGCATATATGTAGATTTTTGCACCAGTCTTATTTACACTGATTTAAAAAAATAATCATATCTCAGATGCTTTCTGTTTAACATAGACAATATGTAAGGCATCATGATCTTCTTCAACCTACACATGGAGTTATCATGGTTTCATTGCTTGAACCAAAGGAGGACTATCTTCGGAGAATTATCACACCCTCGTAGTTATTTTGTGGCTCTGCCATAGGAAAGAAATAATTGCACACTTGACAGAACAGGTTTGTTCTCGATGGAAGCAAAAGTTTACTTGATTTTTCTTATTCTTCCTCCAGAAATTTAAAAGGAAGCTTATCCAAGGAAATGCCTAGTTTCTGTATTTGTCAGTGCAAAGAAGGATTTTTTCTCCAGTGAATAACAATCTACCCTTAAGAAGAACTTTTGTGTTACAGTGTCTCCCTTTATCTACCTCTCTTCCAATTTCCCTTTTCAGAAAGTTGGTATCCTCCCCACCCGTTATCTATGTACTACTCTAATCTTATTGACTTATTATGGAAAACTAGCAGATATTATCATTTATTTTCATGCCTTGGGCTCTTTCTGGGCTTCTTTCCAGAGTCTGTATAAGTGCTTTTAGGAGAAATGTACCATTTTGTTGTCTGTTATTACTACAGGATTTATCTTTAACTGTTTGTCAAAAGCTTAAACCGTCCCTGAGCATAAATGTGACTTTTGAAGGCAGGCTTTGCTCCTGGCATTCTCCAAGTTTGCAGTTCATCCACACAAGAGAGACACTATGTATTTTCCCCGCCACGCGCAATTGTTAAGTATCATCACTCATTTTGTTTTATAGCTCCCAAAAGTGTGCCAAGTGATTTAGAGAAAAATTAGAAAGCTATAGCCTGAACTTGGCCTGAAGTATGAGCCTGCTACAAAATGTGAAATAAAATAAGCGTTGCTGGCTTTGTAGCAACAGTCTGTCTTTTGTGTCTGCGCTGGCATTTGACAGTGGAAAAACAAGGAGGTAGGAATCAAAATGGTAGCCTTTCTGCCTCAGCAACCTGTAAAGAGCATGTTCTTCATCTGATCTGAATTCCCAATCTCTTCATTTATATCAGTAACACAGGTCTGAATTCTTATTTAGAGTTATCTACAGATGGGTAAATTATAAATGTGAATCTTTTTGCTTTTTAAATGATTGATTAAACTCAAATGAACAATCTATGGATGGTCTTACTCAACTTTTTAGTAGCCTTATTTAAAATTAATTTATCTTTGAAAGTGAAATGCGTATTTAAGCCTATTGATTGTTATGGTTAATATGAAATAACCCATTGTTGCAGAAAGCAGTCCATCTCAAAGAAAGGCGTATGTTCTTCAGAGCTGGATTTTTAAGACCTTTATTTTTTTAAGTTTTGGGGAATTTTCTTCTCATTCTATGTGGAGGAAAAGTAACTGTTCTGTGTTTCTTTTTGAAAGCAATCTAAGTTTTCTAAGGCAAACTATATTTGTGTTGCGGGATAAGACCGGGAATTTCCCGGATGGTGAAACAATCAAATATTCCATCCATCGTTCTGCTGCTGAAGGCTGTGCTCTTGTTTGCCTTTTTTTTTTTTTTTTCTATTCTGAAGACAAATGACTGCTTCCTGGAGATGCATTCATGCACTTTATTTTCTGTGTTTTGTTGATTTGATTTTTTGAAGGGACTTATCTTTAATTGGTCACAGAAATCAAACCTCTTCATGAACATGAATGAAATTTCAGGACAGAGGTTCCTATTGGTGAAATATCTTGAATTTTGGGTATCCCAGTAGAACAGAAGAAGAAATTATGTCTCTGCTATGTTTGTTATATCATCACGCGTTTCTACAAGACCAAAGGGCACTTAGAGCTAAGATACAGTCTCCAAATAATGTTACTACTTTTAACTGTCTCAGTTTGAGTTGTTTTCACATGGCAGTAGCTGGAGTTTGGACTTCTATACTTCTTCCATTTCTATCCAGTTTTGTTTTTTAAAAAATAGTTCTGTATATATTTTTGAGTCAACTCCAGCCCAAGTACCATTGTTTAAATGAAAGACCATTTGCCTGTCCACTGCTGTCTTGAGCCTGTACAGAAAAGTTGTATCTCATTTTATAAAGAAGAGCTATCTTCTCCGCAGAAACAGAAGATCCATTTAGTAACATTTTCCTGTCTGAGTTTCATCTTTCCCTGTGCAATGTTAATACTTTTTATGTAGAAATCAAAGCCTCAGTTGGGGAATGGTTATTTTGTTGTCCATAATTTTCCAGCCCTTTTTTCCTGCTGGAAATTGCCCATAAAATGAGATCTGCCATCTAATTCTCAATGATTTATGGGTATTTTATTCACACTGAGTTTTCATGCCACATAACAGGATCCCTTTGCTGTGAACTGTCCATAAAAAGAGTTACTTGGGTTTGAAACTTTAAATAGATTGGACAAAACAAAGAGAGGGAGCGGAAAGGGATTTAGTTGGGTACATCTCAATCTAAGAGAGAAAGAGATCTGCTTCCAAAGGTCTGTGTGTGCTCATTGTACTGTCATCATTGGATAGGTGTTGAAGGTAGATAAATAGATTAATAGATAATCTTGTGCGTCTCATGCTTTTCTAACATGGACGCACTAGGTTGGAATGGAAGAAACTGACTTTCATTTGTGACCCAAATTAATACTTGAACTTACATGTTTCAGGGGTGAAAGGCTAATTCCATAATCCCACAAAACTCTTTGACTAATCCTTTTTAAGATGAAAAACAGAGCCAGAAGAAAATAATTGGTTTATATTATTAAAGGGAGCTACCGCAATCCCTTGTTCATGTAGCATACAGGTGCTGTTATCTCTGTCCTTCAGTTTGTTTTGTGAGCAGCTGCTGGTTTTGTCACAGCCAGAAGGCCAAGATGGGCTGGGGAGGGAGCGTTGCACTGGCAATCAGGAGGTTCTGAAGGCCTGGTGTTGACTGTCCTATGGATTTGCCACAGCACTGGGACTAACTAATTTCATTTCTTTGTCTCTTTTGTTGCATTAAAATGAGGCTAAGGAAACTCTGTTATGTACTTCTTGGAAAGGAATTGAGAGTTAATTACTTAATGATTTAAAATTTAATTTTTCTCTGCAGCTTATTGTCTTTTGTTTAAGTTAATGCAAAGCTGTCATGGATGGCCTAAGCTGCATAAAAACCAGTCTGTAGTTCTCTGCCAATACCAGCAGTAACAGATGGTCCACTTCACAGGACTGACTGTGAGTTCAACATGAGCTGAAATTTGGAACCAAGGAGTAACTGAGTTTGGTGAATCAAACGAGTTCACAACTTAAATACAACTTTTTTTACAAAGAAAGGGGTTGTTTCATTCTTCATCACCAGTTTCCACCAGTATTGTCCCAAAGACAATATGAATTGTCCTGTCTTGAGCTCTGTCACCGTGTCAAAGTATCACCTGAGATATGAGGTATCACCTGAGA